TTTCTCGTTATTTATTTTATCTTGAATGTAATGGAGAAGTTTAGCCGTAAGGCTCCATGTCACTTTGACTTGAATCTTTGTTTGGTCTGTTCAGCAAAACATGTACTACAAAATGCCTTCCAAATATTTGGTCTATACTATTTTGTTACCACTAGGTAGCTGAATGAAAACTAATCATCATCAGTACTGAAATATTTGTTCTTCAGAGTACGAATTCTCTCACACATGTGTCAAAATAATCTCTTCACATTGGTTTATTTCGCTAGTGAACATTACAGTTAAACAATACTCCAACCAGCAGTTCATTGAGTACTCTTATAACAGCTTAGCATCCACAATGGCACATGAATCAATATCTCACTAATCTAACGCTTCTCAACAAATCTATCACGCTTTGTTTATTGAAATTAGCAAGGATGAAGAGGAGAATGATGTTATTAGTTGGATATTTGCATGCTGGCTATAAAGTTGTTTCTTGATCCGCATCGGTCATGCATTACAATCAAATTAGCCTAATATTGCTTACCAGTAACAAAACACATCATTCATGAGAAGTACGTCATGCAATGTATACTGTAACCGAGTCAACCACAGAAAATCACTCATACACAGTCCCATATTTCATATCCACATAACTGTACACAAGCACATTTTGGTGTATCATAACGAAATAGTTAGTGGTAATTAGGCATCGATATAGTTGTTGCACGAATTCCATCATTGAAACCACAATCACAGAGAAACTTTTACCATCACAGCGTTGACTGGCATAGGTCATTTCTATTTATTCAGTGTCACCAATTCGCTTTCACTCCAAATATCTGGTTATCATTTTACAAGGGAGAATATTATTCTATGCTAATTCCAAACACTGAGATATCAAAATCTCTCTCCTGTTCTCATCCAGTTATTGGAAACATACTTATGGACAGTGATAAGTAATCATAAACCAAAGTCTGAGTGGACATTAATTGAGGTGTAATGTAGACAGTTTGATCACAGATGGGCTTTGAGGTCCAGTGCTCTCCATAGAATAACCCCTGACGTTATGCTAGTTCACTGCACATTGTCCTATATAAAATTCACTAAGAAAAACAGCTATGCAATGTTTGCTGGCTTACAATGGTTGTTTATCCACGATCAGTCAGCTAGTCATTTATTGAGTCAGTCAGTCAATTAGTAAGTCAAATTATACACAAAATCTGACAATACGATTCAAGTTAAGAATAAGATAAAGTGATGACATAACTATATCTGACATCAGACAATGTGATCAAATGAAAGGATTGTAGTAAGTAAATCATCCATTTACACTCCTTTCTTAATTTACTTATAAACTTTCAAGTATCCTGAAATCCCAGTTGTCCCTGTCTTATGTCTCATTGTTTTAACAGACTAAGAAACATGTAAGCAGTTAGCAGAGTGAATCAGTATCCATTGATTCGAAATAAACAAGCTGTTTAGAGTAAATTTCTATAGAATAGTAATATACTTCAGAGGGATTAAACAATCAAATGAGATTAGCCATACAACTGCAAACAATAGAATGGTTCAAAACTTCAGAACAATCGACAATATTTATAAGATGAGCAGTTCATTTCAACAAATAAATCAGAGAGGAAGGTTTCAAATTGATTGATAGTAATTTATTTCACTGAACAATACCAAGTAGTATGGTAAGACAAGTGCAATGCTTAATCAATAAAAAAGTGTAGTTATTTCTTTTTAATCTGCAATTCAGTCTAGCATATGTGTTCCCTCAAAACCAAATTTGGTTAATATGCTGAAAGTCTATGAGTTCTCACAGTAACCATCAGTTATTTGTAGAGTCATTCTCATTATTCATATGAAAACTGTACGTTATTTACAATGACATTTCAAAGAGTAGGCTATGAAATATACCTCTGAAGAACAGAATGTTCAATTACAACAGAGAGATGGATAAATGCCACGTTCTTACTAAACAATCTGTACTACTCTCTCGGTCAACTGTCTGTTGGAACATTGAGCAACACCGCATTCAAATTTTACTGATTGGAACGACGTGGACTGACAAGTTATATTTTCACAACTCGATGATCATCTACCAGCTTAATAAATGTTTGTGAATTAGGAGGTTAAATTGTTCAGAACACCATCATTTTCGTATTCTTGAAACTTGGTGTTTAACACTCACTTTTCCCAATAACATCTACCACTAACAACGGATATTGAACTGTTTTCCGTCATAAACATCAGTCAATATTCATCGTGATTCAGTTCAAACTACCTACGTCCATTGATTCAAAACAACTACAAACATCAATTTCAGCTCTCTCTCTCACACACACACAGTAGACTGATATCCGCATGCACCTCAAAATTTTACTAACGGAATTAAAACGAAGAGATTTTACTTGTAATTATTTATTGTTGACACTGTTTTTCTGTAGTTCCAACAAACTTTCTATTTCTTCCAATGAGGAAGCTTCTGCTTCATCAGCTGATTCCGTTCCAGATTTAGATATGACTTTATAATCAGAGTGCCAGTTTACTGGGAAAAATTCCCTCCATGGTCGTTTTGGATATTGACAAGAAACAAACACATCCCATTTTCCGTTAGTTTCTCTACACCGGAAATCATCATGACAGTTGATTATTGATTACAAGAACTCAGTGCAACGACTGAAATAGACGAAATGCAGCACCACACATACACACACTCACACACACTGGTTTACAACGCTTCATCATCACTGAATGAAATTATTTTCGTGTCTCCAGTTGATTAATCTCTCGTAGTTATATACAACAAAATGAATGGTGATCTTCATTTTTGTTAGTTTACGGAAATTCACCAAACAGTATGTTGTCTATATACCAATACAAGATGCACCACATAGAGAACCGGAAATCATCATGACAGTTGGTTGGGATTGTATCATGAATTACAAACTATAAGCATAACTCTTCAATTCCAGTGGTTTCCAATGAATTCCGTGCCATAACTTCATGAGAATAGAATTAACGGATAAGTGGACAAGGCTTCGTAGATGTACATTAACAACATAAAACTCACAACGGATCATATAAAACTGGACAAACCTACTCATATATTAACCAATATGTTTTTCTGAATGGATTCGTATTTCCAGGTGTACAAATCGATTTTGTCCTCCAAACACATGTTGATGAGAGCAGCTCATTACTATCACATATATCAAACCAATCACCAAGTTGATTTGGTTCCATATACAATCGAACACATCGTGAGATTGTATTTCCCCAATTCAGTAGACTTGATGATGAATTCGATGCACTGGTATTGTTGTTCATCTCAGTTGTTGTAGGGTTGCTCACAACTGCATACACAGTTGTATAAGAAATTACTGTGACGAGTAAGAACAGATTGACCGACATTGTTCATGTAATTAGTTGTGGAAGTGAAATCGGTTTATATTATTCACATCACAGTAGGTCGTGTAGTTGCATTGCTCAGGCCATTTTCATATCGATCATGTGATTTGAAAAATATTTAGTTTGTAGGAAACTATGTGTCAACCGATCACATGCCTCACATTCTCTATGCATGAGATATTATCATTACACATTCAGTTAGATTTGATCGCACAATGTTGTGAAGCAATAATTTTCAACTCTACACCATCTTCAAATTTCAACATTTTCAAGTCGAATGATTAACACTTGTTTAATTTGTGTATGTCAAATTATCTTATCATGAAAATGAGATGAGAACTTGATGCACGGTGACCAATTCTCAATGTTCAGTGGAATCGAACATGTACACAACCCTGTGATGTGAAGAGGAATCCCATGGAGTGAGACTTGATAAGGACCAGTGAAATGTTCACATGTATTGGCATGACTAATGAATGTGTTGTTGGTGTCATTGTGTTATTATTGTGTTCTTGTCACGGAACATGTTTGAGCATGGTAGATACGATTGGAAGATTCTCTAGACAAACTGAAATTAGGAAGATTGTGATCGAACTGATGCAAAATGCTCATCTGTGTTGTGAATTTAGTATGCCGATTTGATGTGGGAGAATTTGTGTGAGCGGATCACATGTGAAGTGAATTAGTAAGGTGTCGAGTAACACTTATTTGTTATTTTGCGAAATTCATTGGATTAAACTTGACTGATCCACAAATCATTCAATCGGTACAAGAATGTTATGTGATGTGCACATTGATTGTATACTGTTGTTATCATACTGAAAATGTCACCCAGTATATAATATTGTCTTGATCAACAACTCTGGTTCATTAGCGACACTGACGTTTCTCTCAGTCGATCAGTATCGATGTGATTCATGCTTCTTAATCAACAGAATAATTCTAATTGACTTCAGATTTCGATGGCTTATCGATTGATTTGTGAAACGACTTGATTATCGATCACTGATTTATTGTCTACAGGTTTCCTGAAATATCTTACAATATCTCTTAGAATCCTCTCAATTCAGCTTGTTTCCCTCCTAGTGTTCATTCGACTATGACCACTCTCCCCTAAACAGTATTGTTTTGGAGATCCAAATATGAATTTATTAGTGTACGAATTGTGTAGTGATATTGCTTACTTAGTGATTGCATTGCAGAAACAAATATGGAAGTTCTACAGATAAGATTTCTCTCTATAACCTTGAATAAATAACTCATTTTTCTCCTAATAGATGATAGTAATAATATAATAAATAATAATAACATTACTGTTAATGATAATGGGCTGTTTCGAACAGTCGCATACTCTGACACCCATCAAATATATTATGCATTTTGTTCATGCACATCCAGAACACTTCACCTCGCGCAATTCATTTCAACTAGATAATACTTTACCAAAATAACGGAAGAGATCATACCATTGAAATCATGTCACTCATAGTGTCAACTTCTAATGCGTTAATCTATACAATTGTTAAAAGTCTTGATATTGTTAATTAAAATGTAATTGTTGATTAGTGATAGCATGACAGCAATACAAGTGTCAAGTAATGATTTCACTTAGTAATAATATCGACATTTTCACTGTCTTTCTCTGGTGAACCTGGATCAAATTCATTGGGTGTTTCGTCGCCAGAATTCCACTCCTGATTCACTGTATCAACAATATTTTCCCCACTTTCATCAGACATCCTCGTTGACTCTCGTGGTATATTACAAGGTGAATGAACACTGTTTCTAGGCCATGTTAAACACTTCATTATGGATCCAACTGATCGTAGTCCACCTCGACGAATGACTGTAACACATGTATCTGGTTGAACTAGTATATATCGACCACGAAACATCACTTGCCTGTGAACAAGTACACAGTAATAAGAATACACATGTGACTGACTACATGGAGGTTTCAATATTGGTAAAACTGTTTGGAAAACAAACCAGTTGAAATTATTCACCTTACATTGAACATCTGCAGTAGTTTAACTAAACTCAATTATGCACAAACTAAACATGTTGAATAAAATTTTCAACGAAATGAAGTATTCCGATCATCATCATATTTTCTCACCTTACAATCCTATATCCATTTTATACACAAATTAATAATGTTGTCGATTTCCAATCACAACTTACCATCCTAATGCTTGAACAAATACAAGATGACAGATGTATGTGCCGGAGTTTGCCAGTGTTGATGTTCATGACTATATTGGAATACACTTGATGGGCATATGTACATGTTGAGTGCACTATCTCGACATTGTCCTTAGTTAAAAACACCAAATAGAATATCATGTGCTACGAGGATTCGTCTACTTCCTTCAATCTAATGGTCTTAGAAACACATAAACTGTTTGGATATGCATAATTTATTACATGTGAACATTTGCACAGCTTTCCATACAACTAGGCTGAAAGAAATCCTTACACACAGTAATTTCCTATGTGAATTCATTGATGTAATCGATCGGAAATGTGTCTTCCATTTTACATGTACTATTCTATGATCATTACAGCTGAATGAAAATGCCTCAAGTTTAATACACTAACAAACATTATTCAATCTGGTTTATCGAAAATGCTCGATATATTCCTATTGCTGGTCACTCATATTCCAAAGTGTTTGGAAATGAGTAGGGAGTAATTCTATGTACTTACAACGTCGATTTGTCGAGCGACAATTATCACATTTCAGTTTAATATTTGGTCCAATTCATCTTGCAAATAATGATCGGATAACACTGGTTATCACCTATGAGACACTGACTAGATACTGTCCAAATGGATTTGTATGACAGAGGACTCACATGAAACTTGAAATATACACATTTCATAAGGTGATCAGTGAAGTTATTTGCAGAAACTTACGAATATATCACCCAGTATTTAATGTTATCGAATCTGGTGGAGCGTGGTGAACAAACTGCTCTTGTATACTTCTTGAGAAATGGTGAAAGTGATGGATTACTGTCACATAAATCGATCCAATAATCCCTGTTTTTGTAGAAGCTAAATAGTCTCATGCATTTTACTGGCGGTGCCAGACTGTACAAAAGTCTTGTTTGTGTTTCTGAGCTATTTGAATGTGTGTGATCCTCGGTTGTATTTTCCAACGTTTCAAGTGACCACACTGTGGAGCAAGATATCACCGTAACGAGCAACACTAAACAATTTGGCATTGTTCTTGATCAAATAGTGAAATCATCCATTGTGTGTCTATTTATATCATTCATGTGAAAAGACTAAGGTGAACTGTATGATTTACGTATGACAGTTTCGTGACGATTATGTGTTTGGTTTGGTAAGATTTAAAGATTAAGGATGAAGTGAGTGGATTCTATTAGTTTATGCTACTATATCTAACTGGATAGCACGTATTCATTGATCAGACATCACTACAATTAATTCAGATTAACAAAGTTAATTCTTCTTAGTCTTATCGGATTATATATTTGTCCGTTTAGAATGCAATAACTTGATTGATCTAAATTATGAGTGAATGGTGACCAGAAATTCAGTAGTCACCTCATAATGGATGAACAATTGACGTTAGAACTTCTCTTCTCAGTGTAGATATATATCTGCTTTTACATTTTGTCTCATCATAAAATGATCAACTACTACTCCATTCGTGTTGGTGAACTAATGACTAACAGAAGATTTAAAGTATAACTGCTTATTCGGAAACTGTTAACAGATATTCCTTGACAGCATTACCAATACGAAATAGCTCGAAATGGTGAGATTCTTGTCAATTTCTACTAAACTTAATCACAAGTATCTTTTTCTCTACATCATCCACAAAATAGAACAAAACGAGAACACCGCCAGTCTATCAATGTCCAGTGAAATAACGAATTCCCTGTATTAACTTCACGTGACTCCACCTAATGCCTTTACTTACTAGTTGACTTACTTATTCGCTTCACTTATATGTTACTTGATTCAATTATAATGATAGTTTGTATATTTTGGACCGATGGTCATTATTTTTCTTGATGTAAACTAAGACTGAAACAGCAAGAAACACTGTGACTGAGTATCTGCTGGACGAACTTGAACGTAAACGAGCAGGTTTTGTAGATCCTTAAATCGAGAGTAAACTAGAAAGTGCAACACGTAAGAAATCGGGGTCTCACATAAGCAGTTTTGCAGATAGACAATTCCATCTATTGATTTAATAAATCCTCCTTGAGATTTGTAATTTTAAGTTGATGACTATTGGTTTGATATGTGATTCGCTAAGTATGTTGTTGCAGTTACCGGCGATTATGGTTTCAAACACTCGGTAGCTGACCAACTATTGGTTTTTGAATAACAGTGTTAAAATTGAATAAGCTTGGGAAGTTGATAGAATTCACAATGAACAAACCATTTCATCATGAGCTAAAAAATGATAAACTGTGAGATGCACACGGTTTACTACTAGTTATTTAACTGTTGCTCTCTTTAAATCTTCCAGCATGGAAATCATTGTAATGTAGACTCGTTTAGGTTGTCACTAAATGAAGGCAAATTATTTTCACTTTGTACAGAGTCATTCGAATGATATGTATATTGACAATAAGGATTCCCTATCAGCAAGAGTGATGATTTCAATGAATTTTAAATGCACAAGAGTATTATGTAGCTTGAAAGCGTAGAATTGAATTGTTGGACAGTAGGAACAGTAAATCCCCTTCAGATATGATATTCGTGATCAGTGAGATATATTATCATTGTAAATACTTTCAAAGTGCATATAACGTGTCACAGAACGAAACGGCTATGAATTGTTATTAACGAAGAACTGAACCTACCATGTAAGAAATTTTGTCTAAATTTGATCAATTACTTTCACAGTATTAGGGCACTGATTTGGTGTGAGACATTAAAAAGGAAAAATGTAATTGTAAAATCTCAACGAATGAACTTGAAGTAGATCCAACATCTCGCCTGGCAATCTGGTCCAAGCATTTTCAAAGAATTTTAATCAAACATCAAAATTATCGGATATATATAGGTTCACTGTATACTGAATAGTTCATCCGATCAACGTTAACAATGTTTAAAGTACGAATTCGGATTAGTGTGTAAGAGACATGTGGTGTGAAACGAAATGTGTTAAGATAACTTACTATGGAATATAAATGTCAATACTTCATCTGTAATGGGCGAAATTCTCTCTGAATTTGATCATACAGTATTGATTAGAAAGCGAGAAATCGTCAGCTAACTAACTGCGATCCACGCTAATTTTAGCAGCATACGGACCAAGGAACCAGAATGGTAGTGTTTCCGAGAAAATAATCGTCATGATGCATCAGTCTACAGTAAAACACTCATTCCGTACCTTCTCAACAATTATTTCAACTGTGTCTTCAAACGCTTTAATACAATGTCCATAACATAATGTGAATGACATGAGGTCTATGTAGAAGAGATGTCATTATTTGTGATTTTTTCACACTTTCGTCATCAACTATTCCACAATTAACTTCTGAATTCAAGTTCAATTCATGTGAATGATATTTACACTGAGTTGCATTGGTCTCACTTTACGCCTGAAATTAAATACAAGAGCTCGGATACGAGTGACTATTATCAATCACCAGTTTATCTTGAGCATTATAATCTGATTAATTTTGGATTAACCATGTGTACACTGAACTCAACTTTTCATTCTAACGAAACAAGCAAAAAAATAATCTCTACAGCATCCTATGAAGTCTATATGCGTTTTTTCGAGTATACCAAGTTGAGTGATTGTGATTCTTGCGTCTCTCTTTCACAGACACACGCACACATAAACATATACGCACTTGATTGTTTTATAGAGGCAACAAATTATTTCTTTTCTCTAGGGAATGTTGCCAAATGAAATATATCGGTGAATAAACACCTGCTGTAAAATATTCTCATAAAGTGCTCATTTGTGATGAAGTTGAAAGAAACTCCATAATCCATTTTATCATCGTACTTCAACTTTCAAGATGGAAACTAATCCACATGTGGGTGAACTGTTCATTATACAAGTTAAGAATATCACTAATCAGTTTTGGTAGAAAAGCTATCCATTGATTATTTGATCAGTTTTCAAGTGAAACATTAATCAGTCCATATTAGTCCTGATTAACACCTCATTGGACATTAGGAATTGTTCAGACTACAGTTTATACAATTGTACTAACGAGACCAACCTTCATCAAATTGATAAGCTTATGAAGTAAATCGTTTAGTACGTTGATGAACATTCACAATTTTTTAATAATTTCTCTACCTACTAAAAACTTTCAAAAGTAGTATGCAACATTGTGATCACACAACAGCCGATGAGTTAATTTACAAACTACCATTGAACCGATCTCTTTTAACATTTCTGTTGTATGTTTTCACGTCTCACACAGATGATGTAAAATTTGGCTGACAATTATTTGGAAAAAGTTGTGGAATGTATTAGATGGAGTCAGTTCACTCAAATATTATCCTTACTGTTCGTGTTCACAAAATCAACGTGATGGACTTCTCTATGAAAATGGCTCTGATTTACTATATATTATTAATTTTAATAAATATGAATTGAAATCTGATTAGCTGTGATAAGTCAGTTTCTCTGAGCTTTGCTATTGACTTCTGAGTTTCTTACTATTTGAGGACGCATTAAGCATGTTGAAATATTTTAAAATTTGGGCTAATAATTACTTTGTTTAATAGAATTTGTGGTAATGAGCATAACTACGATAACAGACTAGATGGAATGTGGGTAGCATAGGATCTCGAAACACGCATTTCGTCCCATTTAGGATTCGTCAGCCAGATGTAACTTCATCTGAATCCTGATTTCCACCCCATGACTCAATCCCATTACCGTTTGCTTCAAACCGTATCAGTTTATTCACTTAGTTGAATTGAATTGTGCAAGGGGTATGAGATTGAATTTTGTCGATTCTGGATCCGCTTGTATCATGATGATTATATCGACTCTTTCCAGACATAATAACCGATTGTCAATCAAGGCTGATCAAGTTTCTGTCAAATATATCAACAACTGAATAACGAAAGCCATTTCAAATTGAATTAAGACTGTTATTTTGTTGGTATTATTATTATTAATCTATGTTTCAACATTTAAGCAGTAATGGTGAAGTAAGTAAATTTAACAATAATGTACACAACATTCGCATTGTTTAGTTTTCCGATCTATTCTCTCTCTCCCTCTCTTTTAATACTTACATAGAATATAATGAAACTATCCTGTGAGGTAGATTGCTAACCCTAAACATATATCGTTGAGAGAAACAGTTTGTCATTTGGATTTCGTTCTCAGTTTTTTCTTTCTATTATTTCAGTTTAGATAGAAATGTTCATAGGAAATGTAAACGTCTATAATTCTGTTATCATATTGATAATTGACTTTTCAATCGTGAATTAACTTTCTTTTTGATATACACTAGTAGCGGTAAATAAATCCTTAAAATCAATATCTCTGTAGGTGTTCGACATTTGATGGAGATCACATTAGTTTTAATACACTCACCTAACTGAAGG